AAAACATCAAAAAAAAATGCCGCCGGAGCGACAGCGCCGTCATCTAACGTCTACTGTGGTTGACTTCTTGGTGGGAGTGGAGGGATTCTAGTTACCCTGTTATGTCCCAAATGTGTTCACGTACGCGCGCGAAAGCATAGTGGAGCGCACTCACGGATGGTATATGGAACCTTCGTCGAAATGGAATGTTTGTTGGATCGGTATTTGAAAGTTGCCAGCGAGATGGTGCGTACGTTTAAGTGTCTATAGATTAAGATGGAAGCTACCCATCGCTACGAGTAGTAGCAACAGATGAATTATGAAGGCAAAAACTACACCAGTTGACTATCACTACCACATGCACTGGCAGTGGCCATATGCAGTGATAAGGTACATGTCAACTGACAGTACAGCAATCCATAGAATTATAGGACTAAGGAGCGTAACCCTTCTTCACCAAATTAGCCTTTTGAAATTCACTGCTGACATTGTATGCCTCATAACATCAGCATGTATAGTATTCTGACTAGCAAACCGGCAGGGATTCTTTCTAACATTAACAATGAATCCATAGTTTAACCCTCCTTCTGAGCGTTCAAAAGGTTATCGACACTTACGTCTTCGCATGTCAGCAGAAAGTACATTTCATGGTCCTTTCATATAAAAGCCATACAAAATGCATGCTAGGTCACCGCTGAAACAAAAAAGTTTTTCAATCGCTCCGTCAGACCATGTCCTCAGAAAATGTCTAAAATATGCCCTGTGCCCCATTGACCTTTGACCTGTGACCTCCAATTTCGGCACAGTGATGGCTTTTCCTACCATGATGCTATGTACACCAACTATCACGAGCCTAGGTCGAGCCGTTTAGATTTGTGCCGCAATTCTGCATTTCCTCCCTATAGGCTATACCTTAAATTAAGGAGGGAATGTTCCCCCTTCTTTTACACCTCTTGACCTTTGACCTTTAACCCCCAGCTTTGACATCCCAACTCGTTTTCGGATTCCCCCCCCCACGTCCCGAATATCGTGACCGTACGTCGAGCGATTAAGATTTGTGCCCAACTGTTGACGCACAGACGGACGGACAGACGCACGATCATGCAATTCTACAAGCTGCATTAGCTCCAAGAAACGGTATTGCTAGGGTTAGAATACCGTTTCAAACCTTGGCTGCAGCTAAACACGTAGTTGCCTTATTTGCCAATTATCGCCAAAGAACACTACACATGTGATATACCAAATGAATCAGTATACGTCCACCTTCTTGTAACCATCAGTGCGCTACGATGAGCTGGGTACTTACGGTGTTACAGCGACTTTTTGAGACAAATGCAACCAAATTTATGAATTCGCCGCCATGTTCTATCATTCCGACTGTGACTAAAATCCGTAATGGATCAAACAAAGGAAATTAAACGATCTGCGGTCCTCATGTAAACCACCCCTACATCCGAGAACATGTCATCTAAGCTTTTTACAAATGGCCCAGACATTTGTGAACATCGTTTCACTTGCTTTGGTGTGTAATTGCCGTGAGAGCCGTCGTGCAGCTATTGTACTATTTCTGTAGTATTTTCTAGCGAGTCTTTTCCGTTTCGGGTTTTCCATGCCTCGCTAAACATGGCGAGTAAAGCTGATTGGAAAGTTGATATGCTGTGAGAATTAGCAGATTATAGTGTGAATTAAGGGGTACATTCTTTTAGTTTTAGTTTAGAAGCAGGACAACTGTGAGTTAACGTTCATATTTCAAACAAGGCAAGTCAAAGGTGGTAATAGAATAGTTTTATTTGAGATATACAGAGTTATTCATCTAGACAGTCTGCAGCCCGGATCCGCGTGAAGCGCGAACAGCGCCACCTCGTGGCGCCTTTTCATCTAATTCATCGAATTCGCTGCTCTGTATTTAGAACAATTTCACGGTTCTGTC